GAGAGCAGGGGGGGGGGGGAGCAGAGGGAGCAGACTGAAGACAGCTGCTTCAGCAGTGTTACTGAGCATGCTCACTACAAGCCAACCAGCAAATTGGAGGGTGGGGTCAGCCCCATCCACTCCCTCATCACCTCTTCCAAGGAGCTACTAAGGCACTTGAAAACTCCATTTTTTGGCAGATAACTTAGCAATTAGCTGACAGGAGCAGTGTGTATAAACTAAGAAAGGCAAATATGATACTCTCTCAGCTCTAACACTAATATTCAGACTAAGGATGTTAAATTGCAGTTAATTGACTAGTCAAGTCAACGAGTCAATAGGCACCTCCACGTTCCTCCTTTGCAATGTACAAGAGCCCAGTACATTTCAAAGGAGGAATGCAGGACTCCGCATGCAGCCCAGGGCCATTGGGAAGTCCCGCTGACTCTGGGCTGCACCAGGGAGGGGGACAGCTTTGAAATGTACAAGTCCCCAGCAGGGGCTCTTGTGCATTTCAAAGTCACAGTGCCCCCATGGAGTCCGGGGTCAGTGGGGGACTCCCCAGCTGATCCCAGGTTCCATGCGGAATTTCCCCAGAACCCGGGGTCAGCTGGAGACTCCCCAGCTGATCCTGGTGTTTTAAGGGGCAGCGCCTGGAGCCCAGAGTCAGCTGGGGACTCCCTGGCTAACCCTGGGTTCTGGGAAAATGCCAAGAGTCCCCAGCTGACTCCGGGCTCCATGGTGCTACCCCTTGAAACACCACTTCTGCGTTTCAATGGGGCAGTGCGCACAGCTGATCCTGGTCTCAGCTGTGGGCCACTGCCCCCCTTTGAAATGCCAAGGCGGCGCTTTAAAGGGGCAGCGCTGCACAGCTGATCTGGGCATCAGCTGTGTGGTGTTACCCCTTTGAAACGCCTTGAGGTTTCAAAGGGGCAGCACTGCACAGCTGATCCCCAGCTTAACTGTGTGGCACTGCCACTTTGAAGTACCCCTTCTTCTCCCCCGCCGCCTTTGCTGCCTCTTTCTGATAGAGGCAGCAAGGGTGGTGGTGGTGGCGGCGGGGGGGAGGGGAGTGTTGACTAGCCAGCTGACTATCTGATAAGCATTTGTTTATTGGATAGTCGACTAGCCCTTAACATCCTTAATTCTGACATCTTGTGGCACGTCACTTAAGGGACACTGGTTAGCCTTAAACTTTTAATATATCTTCTTACTTCATTACTAACTCTGTGGAGAAAGAGAGAGAGACAGACATTGTCCGGACTCTTGGTTCTATTTCACCTATGGGCAGGGAGTGAGGTCTAGTGGGTTATAGCAGGGGGCAGACACATTTGGGTCCTATATATCAACATCAGAATGGCCATACTGGATCAGCCCAATGGTCCATCCAGCCCAATATCTTGTGTTCTAACAGTGGTCAATGCCAGATGCTTCAGAAGCATGAATAGAAGAGGCCATCGTCAAATGATCCATCCCATCGCCCATTCCCAACTTCTGGCAAACAGAGGTTAGGGACACATCCCTGCCCATCCTGGCTAATACCTACTGATGGACCTACTGTCCTCAAACTCATTTCACTCTTATTGAACGCTTTCATAGTTTGAGCCTTTTGCCATCCCCTGGCAATGAGTTCCACAGGTTGACTGTGAAGAAACCATTTCTTTTGTTTGTTTTCAATCTGATGCCTATAAATGTAATTAGGTGGATTTCTTGTGTTTGGTTAGTGAAGGAGTAAATATTTCTTTATTCAATTTTTCCACACCATTCATGATTTTCTAGAGCTGTAACACATCTCCCCACACTTCAGTTATTTCTTTTCCAAGCTGAAACGTCCCAGTCTTTTTAATTTCTCCTTGTAGGAAGCTGTTACTTACCCCCCGCTAATCATTTCAGTTGCCCTTTCTGTACCTTTTCCAATTGCATCTTTTTAGATGGGATGACCAGATCTGCATGCAGTATTCAAGATGTGGGCATACCGCGACTTTATGTAGAGGCAAACTGATCATTTCTGTCTTATCTATTCCTTTCCTAATGATTCCCAATATCTGTTAGCTTTTTAGACTGCCTCTGCAGAGTGAGCAGATCCTTTGAGGGACCTATCCACAATGAGTCCAGGATCTTTCTTGCGGGGTAAGAGCCAATTGAGACCCCATCATTTTCTATGTACAGTTCAGATTCTATGTTCCTATGTTCATTACTTTGCATTTATCAGCATTGAATTCCACCTGCCATTGTGAAGCTCCATCACCCTGTTTTGTGGGATCACTTTGTAAGCCCAAAACTGACTGCCAAGAGTTCACTATTTTGAGTCATTTTGCATCATCTGCAAGTTTTGCCAGCTCACCGTTTCCCCTTTTCAGGATTATTTATGGAGTAAGTTGAACGGCAGTGGTCCCAAAGCAGACCTCTGGAGCACACCGCTGTTTATTCTTATCTTTTAAGTGCAGTGCCTGGCCATGTTTTCATGTCCATCCAACAATCCTTGAAGCATGGATCATAGAACACTAGAACTGGAAGGGACCTCGAGAGGTCATCGAGTCCAGCCCCCTGCCTCACGGCAGGGCCAAATACTGTCTAGATCATCCCTGATAGATGTCTATCCTATCTGCTCTTAAATATCTCCAGTGATGGAGATTCCACAACCCTCCTTGGCAATTTATTCCAGTGTTTCACCACCCCGGCAGATAGGAAGTTTTTCCTAATGTCCGACCTAAACATCCTTTACACCCATTGCTTCTTGTCCTATCATCAGAGACCAAGGAGAACAATTTCCCCCCTTCTTCCCCGTGACACCCTTTTAAATACCTGAAAACTGCTCTCATGTCCCCTCTTGAGTCTTTTCTTTTCCAAACTAAACAAGACCAATTCTTTTAGCCTTTCCTCAAGTCTTTTGTTATCTTAGTCATTCTGCCTCCCTTTGTTTATTAACTCCCTGCCAGCGTTCCCTGTAAGCTGAGTGCTTGGGTGGCCACCCAGGAGAGATGCAAATGCTGCCCACCTGATGAGCAGAGTGCCCAGAAGTATGTTTCTCTATTGGTGCTGCACATTTGTACATAAAATTTATTCCCCACATGGATGGAAAAAATGAGAGGGACTATTGCTCCCTGTGCCAAAGGCAAAGCTGGGAGCAACACGAGCTCTGTTGTAGCTAAAAGCTGCCTGTGGGGTTGGGGCACGTGCTTTAAACAGACCTCAAGTATGCAATCCAGGGGTTCACACTTTATGGTGCCCCTGCATAGACCAGGTATGTTGTTCTGAAGCCCGTATTGTGTCTGTGCAAACAGGCCAATATTGCAAGGCAAGGCCTTTGCTGCTTTGTTTGTTGATTCTAACATGATTTGCATCTGACTCAGCCCCTTTGCAAGCAGTTCAAAACCTAGCCCGGAGCCTTTGGCCGACGCCTCCCACTTGGGCAATATTGTGCTGCTTTGCCAACTGGCCTCACCTCTTTCCTGTACTTTCCCTTCAGCTTCAGGTGCAGGACAGAGCCCACTAGCCAGCAGCAGCAGAGACTGCCATGTGCATCTGACACCACAGCCATCTACCTTTTCTCACTCGGCTGGGGCACGGCCAGGCCAGGGACGCTGTCAGCAGGCCGGCTGTCAATTTACCTTTCATCAACGTTCCACCTGCTGACCTAACCGTACAGCATCTCCAAATCCTGACTGCCACACGGCCTCAGTATGGCCTCTCAGATCCCCCTCGCCCAGCCCCCCGACTTCATGCTTGGGGGTCCCAATGCAGGCACGAAGCACTCACTGCTGAGCGAAGGAGAATGCTGCTCAGTCCAGCTCTGCAGAGATTCTGCTAGAACCTTGCCCAACCTTCGCCTGCTTGGCTCCCTGCTCCCGAGTCACAGAAAGAGGGGCCCCGTGCTCACACGCTCCTCCCCAAAGCGTTACAGGGCAACGGGGCCACCTTCCCGGGCACTGTACTCAGAGGCTCGCTGCTGCAGAGCGGCCATCGGCCTCGGGAGGCGAGTCAAGTTACGGCCAGGCCGCGGAAGCCTCTTGCAGCAGCAGTCGGCTCAGCGGTGTAGCTGGGAGACAAGGGCCTCGTCTGCTTTGCGGCTGCACCGCATGCAGTTAGCAGTGGGGGAGAAATCGGCGCAGCTCACTAAGGTGCCAACTGCACTGCGTGCTGGATACAGACACGTGCAGCTACCGCGCCTTCCCCATTCATTAGGCAAAAGGCTTAAATTGTTCTTGAGCCTTTGGCTTGAGCGGACTTAAGGATTCTTAATAAGGCTTGTCCATAGGCCAGCCACATTTCCTCATTCACTTCTAATCACCACACTGACCTAGCGGGACCCACTGAGGCCTGGAAGAAGGAATTTGTTCTCAGCGCTCGCTTTGTCTTCAGCTTCCCGGCTGTATTTCTGTTTCCAGCACAAAGCCTTTTCCTCACCCGCCATCCCGAGCTAGCTCAGCTCTGTGCCTCTCTCAAGCAGAGCACTTGGCTCTAGCCACATGGGGACCTGCTGCTAATGGAGCCCAATCAAGCCAGGCCGCTATTGGAGCTTGAACATCTACAGCAGGGGTAAAGCTTCATGGCGCTGGCATAAGCTATTCGTGAAGAGAGCCAGCCCTTGGTCCCCAGTACAGAGAACCTGGGCTTTCGACTTCAAAAAGCAAAAGCAA